CTGAATTTATATGGACATGGTCAATGTTTACACATGTTTGGAGTTATTGAAGAAAATGTGATATGGGGTGGTTCCGAATTTGAAGTCATTCCTGGAAAATATGATTTTAATACGTGAAATTATATCTATAAATACAGCACTAAAAATAACAGTACACGTGGAGTACATGTATGATTGTGTGCAGAAATGTTTGAAACCCTTACGGAAAATTCGGTCTGCATTTTGTCACCATTGCTCTTTCTTCCCGCATTCTAGTGCTGTTTGAATGAATATATTTATTAATGTATTTCCAACTAAAATATGTCACATTTTTTATAAACCACAAACATTTAGATCATAAAAAAAATATTCAATACTTGAGTGAGCACGATATGCAATGGTTACTAAGTTGACACAGTAAATGACCACTGATATTGTGTTAGTCCATGCACACAGCGTATTCTGCTAATACACATTTGCCTTGAACACCCCTAACTTTCCATCGTGTCAGAATGCTAACTTTCATAGTGAAGTGATCGTCTGACTAATTGGTTTATGTTTACGTTTTAATGTGTTCCTTGTTACAGCAAGGGGGGGCCAGTAAAGTAGACTAACATGTTTGCATGGCAGATTTTGATCGAATATGTGAGACACTTTAAACAAATAATTTAGGAACTTCAAAGGAACTGCAGAAGCCTGCTTTAGAATCAGATTTCTATAAGCCGGCTTCATATGGGTTCTCAAAACCGGCTTCTGATGCACTTAAAGCAGTTGGCTTTGAAAGCCATCTTTTTTATATTTGCCATCGAACCTTTCTCAAAATGGCCAAAATTCTCTATCTATAATTCGAAGGGGACTTTTCTGAGCAAATATATTTAAACATATTTAATGCACCCCCTAGTTCAATCTTTATGCCATTTAATAGGAAAGCTAATATCACTGAACAGAACCAGCATTTACAAGCTGACTTAAATAATTTATGGGAATGGTCACAGAAATGGAAGCTTAAATTTAAACCTTCTAAAAGTCAAGATATGATTTTTAAAAGGCTCAAGGAGGTCCAATCTCTTATACCCTCCTCTCTACCTAGGATATGAGGTCATTAATAGAACCAGAACTCATAAACACTTAGGAGTCATTCTAGATGAGCATTTGAATTTTGAAGCCCATTTACAGGATATCATAAAAGCATGTAATATAATGTTAAATCCATTGAAAGTTCTTAAGACCAAGATTCGAGCTAAACACCTAGAGAAGATGTATCTATCATTTATTCTCCCAAACTTAGAGTATGGAAGTATATTATTTGAAAAATCTACCAAGTATAATATTATGAAACTAGACCAAGTTCATTAAAGAGCAGCATTATTAGTAAGTGGCTGCATTCATGGAACATCTACTGTAAAGGTTTTGAAATGTCTAAATTGGAATACCCTGTCTGAGCGGAGAAAAGGAGAAACGATTGCGTTTAATGTATGATTAAGATTTTTGATAGTTATCAAAATAAGCAACATAATATTAATTTAAGAAAATCAAGAGAATACACTATTCCAAAGTTAACTGCACGTTCACAAAAGTCACCAATAATAAATGCCATAAGAGAATGGGAAGCCATTCCAAATTATCTAAAAAGTGCACCATCAAGAGTCACTTTCAAAACCAATTTACGTAAATATTCAGGGAGAATGAAGCATTTAACAACCACAAACCTGGATCTTACAAGAAAAGAAGAAATTTTACTGAATAGAACGAGATGTGATTTCATTTTTACTGGTCATCTTTTTCAACATAATTTTCAAGGTATTGACAGTCCCAAATGCATCTGTGGTTTTAAACAACAAACTACAAAGCATCTAATCTTCAAATGCCCTCTGTTGAATGTTATAAGAGAGAAACTTTGGGGGGAACTCAGGAACATGCCAGAAATGAACATTTTCTTTACAGGATGCTCTATAGAGCAAAAGCTGAATATCTTAATGTATGGCAGGGATGGAGTTAGCATAACATGCAATTCTTCAATATTGAAGCATTTTACATCCTTTTTGTGTGAATGCATTGATATAATTATATAGTTTTAACACATTCCTGCCATGCATACATACATGTTGGTAGTCATTTTGTTGCTATTTTGTAAAGAATAAACTTTGTATTAACAGGGCCAATAATGCTGATTTCAGCCTCGGCCCTGTCATTTGTAGATCATTTTGCAAAGTAAAATAAAGAAACCATAAAAACTAAACTATGCACCCCCCTCTACAGCAAAAAGTCCTTAATGTGCCATATCGTGTCATACCTCATTTGAAAGATAATTTAATTCTGGAGTTACTCATCAAATTTCATTTAATAAAACTTGATATTAAAAAAGTAACATTGTTTCAAAGTTTGCTACTTTGGCACTTTGTTTGCTGCTCTGTTACTGGTTAAAAGTCAAATCGTCAGAAAGTGAAATATGAAAGATTTACCCCAGATTTCAACTGCACTGACCATATGAGTTCATTTCTGAAAAACATGGTATAGGAACTGATGGGCAAAGAGCCTCTTGAAAAAAAAGACACAGGAACGATATATTTCTGAAGAATGTGAGGAAAGTGTGAAGAGGATTATGCAATGCTACACCTTTATGGGAATTTTTATTGAAATCATATCCGTCCAGATAAGCTGCTGTTTGAGCAGCAACTAGTGGTCATACCAACTACTAAGAATCAGCTGTAAATCTGTAGAAGTATATGATATAAAGCTAAAATTTATCAGGTAACTCCAGAATTAAATTGTCTTTAAAATGAGATATGATACACTATGTAACATTAAGTATTTTTTTGCTGTAGAGGGGGTGCCGTTGTTTTTTGACACCCTGTACATATTTTTCATTAATGTTATGGCCATAGTCTCATTTGAAGCAAGGCTATACTGTATTTTAATTCAAGGCTTGTTGATAAGCTTTGATAAGCCTTGAATTACTTATCTGGCAATTGAGAATCTGTAGACTCATACTCCATGTTTACTCTCCTGCTTTATGTTAATCTTCGCATCAAGTGTAAGTTATTTCATTCGAGATATTTACATAGGTGAATTAGGGTTGAACATTTTATGAGTAGGAATATACATGCATGTAGGATGCGATAAATGCCTTCTCTAACCAAATGTTACACTCTGTTTAGCTGCTGTAGCATTTTGTTTCTTTTTCTCCTCTTTCTCACGCACCCGTTTACGTTTTTCCTCTTTTTTGCTCAATGAGACATAAAGGATCTTCGAGCTTCTCGTCCCTGGATTAAAAATAGAGGGTGTCCCAGAGAAATTTGTACCAAGACAAACGAAATTAGGATTTTTGAGAGACAATTTAATTATTATAAACAGGTAACTTTATTTACAGATTCAGTTTTAGAGAAAACCTTGTTTTAGTACCATAGCCAATCTTTAGTACCATCACACATCTTTAGTACCATTACACATCTTCAGAATTGCATTCAGTTCTGCATCGATCGTGAAAGAGTTCTTCTAGATCTAGTCATCTAAATTATGAAACTTCCCAGGAAACTTCTATGACTTTTAACTGCCAATTGAAAATGGATTTTCTTTATCATGTGAAGAGTTCAAAATCGACCTCACTACCCACTCTTTGGGAGCCCCAATGTGCACATGCAGTGAACAGCTTGTATTCATGCCACACTACTTTTTTATTAGAATGGATTGTTGTTTGTAATAACTTAAGAGTACACGTCGCACACAATGCTGCAAAACAACAATCACTAATGATGGAATTATTGCAACAGAACGCCTTATTTGATCAAGGTCTTGGAAATAAATACTTACGGTGTATATGTTCTCGGTGTATCAAACGTACTTTAAAATTATTCAGCAAAACTACCTGTTCTGTTTACTTTGTTGTGTGTGCAGTCAAGGACGTCCTTCATTTCCTTGCTGCAGTGAACGAAAAAATGTCACGGCATTCATGGCAACATTGTTTTTACTCTAATAATAACAATCCGGTAACAAAACCGTACGCGAACTAAACTAAACAACGCGGAATCGGTTGAACTTGCACACTCATTTAAAAATAAACTCTTCTAATTTAATCAATTCTCATACTAGTGTAAATTCGGTGCTAAGAGCAAGGATGGTTGGATCCCGGGGTTCCGACTCAATATTTTTCGTCTCCAAACAATTTGTCCAGTGCTGATTTCTATGGCAAAGAATGCACGAATTAACTGCAAGAATGGCTGATATTCTAGCGATATCAACAACAATGAAAATGTCGACGTTATTGCCTGACACTATAAATGGCTATAAAAAATGTGGGTTGTTTATTTTGAAATTTTGTAAACATGACATGACGCCATACTTGTCAGAATATCGAGTTGGAACTATAGGAGCCGAATCTGACATATATTGCCAAAACCTGTAGACATTTTGTTGTTAACTTACACAATAAGGCAATTGTGCAATTTCGAGTAAATCGATAGAGTATTATTATAAAACTCCAATTATCATAAACATCCTGCTTGGCCAATGTTCCCCCTGGGGGTCCCACTGAACCACAGAGTGACAGAGTGACTTGCTTAGCAGGTTGAGGTCAAGGTCAATTATAATTCAATATCTAAACAATAATACCTGAAAATAATATGTCATAACATTAGATGCAAGGCTCGACAATTTTTCACACTTAGTCCCCTAATCAATCACATCGCTATAATTCCTCATTTACAAAAAATAAAATTAGAAATAAGTGTTAAAACGTAACACCGTTGAAAGACGTATGGACAGACAGACGGACGGGTGAGTGATAACAATGGCTCACCATGGAAGCTAAAAACTGAGGAGTGACATAATTTATCACAGCAACTAATTTGCACACCGTATATTAATCAAGCGACCATAGCCTTGGTATTCATTTTATACGTGCACGTAGTCTAGTCGATACCTATATAAGGCCGAATGGGATTAGTAAGGTCTAAATTGCAGATGCTCTTGAAAATGTAGACGCATTATACTAATATGGATACTTAACATCTTTAGGATCAAGAATGAACCTCTTCTCGGCTAAGAAAATGGATTTAGAAATGAACCAATCTTTTAACTCATCAATGTCGAACATTACCCTTAATCTAATATCAAACTGGAAATCAGAAAGGGACGACGTTCTGGATTTGGGCGAACATTGGAGAAGTTTTGGACCCCCTCCGCCAGGGATGCACATTTTTATTGGAGTGCTAATGATTATTGTGGGTAGCATTGGAGTTACTAGTAACATTATAGTGATCTTCGCATTTTGTGGGTAAGTTGAGAACATTTCTGTTTACTTGATTTACAAGAACTGAACTGAACTGTACTTATGTAAGATAAATTAAATGTAGGACACATGATGTTAGGAGGTTTATTCGAGGGAAATGTATGTATCTCCCGAAGTACAGAAAATACAAACGAAAAAGTCAAATTTTCTTTAAATATCAGACACTTTGTTAAAGTAGAACTTTCAAATAAATGATTGTGTATAATGACTAATTCATATTTGAATGCCAGTTCTCTGACCAGATTGAATGCATTTTACAGTGAGGGTCGATTCATTATTACGTTCTGAAAATGGTAGGGAAAATTGATTGTCTAAATTGTTATCGTAAATCGTTATCGACACTTCCCCTCATACCTGCTGAACACACTTTTCATTTAGTACGAAATTATGTAATCCTAGATGACTCTTCAAGAATATGTTCAACATATAACTTCTACAAGTATAACTCGCTCTTGATTCAGTTACTTATTGAAATGTCAGCTTAGATACTAAACTTCAATGTGCATAATGTTACGCGGTAAGCACGATACAAAAATATGTCATATTCCGCAACGAATATGACATATTCACTTGCGGTGTATTACAGATTCACCTGCGGTATATGGCATACACACTGGAGAGGTTAAGCTAACGATGTTTTTCACAACGTAACCGTGAACGCAAAGTGCAAAAATTAACAAAGGAATGTATCGAGCGCTCATAGTTTTATGCGCGCTTAGTCTACTTCAGATACTCTTTCAGCTTCAGAGTTTCGGGTTTAGAACGGGAGATTTGAATATTTGACGTTGGGTCAACGGGAACCATTTTACTCGTGTCTATTGAACACTATGCTGTCAATTTTGATTTCGATGTACAGTTGAATTCTTGCTGAACACGATGATGTATGTCATGCATGATTTAGCGCCAAAAATCTTACGAAATGAGCTCGTTTAAAATATGTATTAGAAAACCAGCTATAAAACCGCATCAATGACATACTATAGAATCATTACACGCTATGGTGTAGTCTAAACAAACACTGGATTTGAACGGCTATTTATATGAGAAGGCTACATGAATTTGTATATGGTCGAGTGATACGTACAGGTTCAGTTTCGATTATATATGCAAAGCTTAACCTCTCCACTAACCAATGAGAACGTGATACGGAAGTACACAATTGTCAATTGCATCGATTGAACGAACAAGTAAAACTTTATAAATTATTGTAATGATTACTGAATCAACAGTACTGTGTATCGAATATATTAACTTAGTAGAAGTATCAGTCACCAATCTCACGTAATAAACTTACTCAATCAATCCAGGATTCATATATTAGTACTTGACGCACTAACTATATTGGTAAGAAATCCAGCGTAGTTTTACATTTAGAGTCGACTCTCGCAACCAATCAAATCAAGGCTTTCTGTATCACGTTTTCACCTGCGGTATATGTCATATTCACCTGCGGTATATGGCATATTCCGCAAGTGAGTATGACGTATTCCGCAGGTGAGTATCGGGTATTCACTGAAATCAATATATCGCATATTCACTGCGGAATATCGCATACTCACCTGCGGAATATGCCATATACCGCAGGTGAGTATGGCATATTCACCCGTATCACAAATACCGCGCAACCATGAATGTATGCCATATACCGCTTAACACATAGAGCTTTTCCATATGTTTTTCGATCGAAGAATAATTTCAGCTCAAACCATTCCTTTTCATATTATCTCTTTCCTAAAGATTACCGAAGGTGATACTTTATTCCAGAAAAGATTTTTACATTAAGGTATTATGTCATGGATCTCTTGACATATCATACAGTATTTTGGGATGCTATATCTGAGATAGTAAACAATGCACGCATTGGTAGGTTATTGCATCCTTCTTCAAAGGACTTAATTTATGCTTAAATTCAGTGCTCGAGCAAGTGAAATACCGTTGGACCGAGTATAAAGGATGAGGTTATTGTGCATTGTCAGGCTAATCAGTTAATAGGACGTATATAACTCTAACCCTACCTTCAATGATTGCCTATCACCGGGGAAACGGGGATCCTTATACGTAGCAACAGAGCAACAGAGTACAGTCGGTCCTCGGGATTTGAGTTTCATCGGTTTTTCAGTCTTGAGAACATGGTAATTTACAAGTAGAAAATAAAGGTCAATATACAATGTATGTTTGCATCCTTATTGTAGGTATTGTGTTTGTTCGACTTTGGTTGAGTAACTATATAGTCAAGAAGCAATAAAATGCAAAAAGATATTAGTGTTTTGGAATTAGAATAGTTTAAATTTGATCAACAAAATAGCCTTCTTGCCTTTGAAACAAATGTTTGTTACCCAAGTTGAAAAAACAAATTCCATACATAAGGACGGCCAGACTGGATCAAATCTCCAAATACCAGTGCATTGACCACCATGTAGGACAATCTAAAGGAGGATTAAAATTCATATTTTCTGAGAGGATCAAATTGTTGCACAGGGCGCAGATTGAAATGATCAGAATGTAACTGGTGCAGAATACGTTTGCGTATAGGGGTAATTCCATATTAGTCTTTTCAAGAACCAATGAAGAAATGCACATATAAATCTAACAATTTCGATGACTTCCCTAAACATTTTAGCAAAGAACATCCACTTAATAGGGTAATCGTTAGATAAAAACACTACATATGTTGAGATAAATAATCTTTAACTGTAGTCATTTATTCTGAATCCAACAGTTTGCCTAAAGCACAATCCCCGTAGTTAAATTAAATGATAAGTCATCTGTAAAAAATCATTTGTAAATTCCATGGTCGTTTCAGCGTAATCAAATATCTAGTACACAGAGGACGATATATAGCATCGATTTCATCTATGGAGGCGTGGCAACACCTGATCATCTTTGAACGATTTTTGCGGCATGTATTGTATGCAGCCCGTAGAGAATGAAATATTTGTTTAATTTTACCATTACTCAAGACATTCTCTACGATCACTTTACATTTCAAAAAAATAGAATATTTGTTTTTAAACTGTGGACATTTATTTTAAATCATTAAAATTTATATAAACCATTGATTGATGTTCCCTCAGAATACCAGATGCTGTTTTCAATCGATAGAATTCAGAGGCATTTATCATGTTTACACTGTATATCACTTCGTAGACACTAAGTATGTCTATTAAGCTCACGAAAATGTCTATTAAGCTCATGATACCCATCCTTCATGTCCTTAAGCAATTTCTAAGCAAATTTGGCATTCTTTAATTAAATAAGGCAGAGATTAGGCAGACAAATTTGAAAAAGTTTTCACCAAATTCACCATTAGGTGGCTCCAAAAAAAATTTGCCGAAAATATTCGATCGAATCCCCTCCTGTCAAATCCTGGCTACGCCACTGTTTAGTTCGCTTTGTCGGTAGTAATTTTGTCTTTTGAGTGAACATCATTCAGAAGTTCGATTTTTTAAATTTAATTTAGTGCTTTAAATCTGTCATGTTGTCACATCATGACTGTACTGGACGAAAATACCTTTTGTTGCACAAAAAACTTATCAATGCATATTTATCTTCCTTACACGATACTAAATACGACAATAAAGGGGCACTACCGCCAATGAAACACGGGATGGTGTTGTAATCACTCCAACTTTAAAGCAACTATACCCTTATATATTTTTTAATGTGATATTATTGTATACATCATATATTCCTTCCAGGTTCCGGACTCTAAGGCGACCATCCAGCATTTTGATAGTAAACTTAGCAGTATGCGATCTATGTGTCTCTGGACTATGCTTTCCCATCCACGCCTACTCGGCCATAGTTGGACAATGGTCCTTTGGAAGGACTGGTAGGTTGAAATTCATATTGCTAAATATTTTGCATACAATCCATAACCGCCCCCCCCCCCCCATTTATACTCGCTTATTTGTGCTCCAACTTGCCTCTTGGAATTCAAAATGGCCGTCTTCATTATTTTGGGCTATTTTTCAACTCTTCGAGTATTGGATGACAAGGCAAATATTTTAGACATATCAAGGTTCTAGATACCCTATTTGAAAAAGGCCTTACAGGCAGAATAAAAACTCATTACACAAAACGATATACCTTTCAAACATCAATCTATTTTTTGCCTGGCAATGAACGGTGCACATTCGCGACTTTTGGCATTGGCGCACGTTCTACTATAAAGTTCGAAAAGGTCAAAGCCTTGAAACGGTCGCGTTTGACTGCGTACAATATGACTTTCTCATCCGTCAACTGAAATCATATATATTCAAAATTCATGGTCAATTTTCCAATGTAATCAAATCCTACATGAACGATAGAAGATTTTTCATTAACATGGGTGGTAAGTCCTCAAAAATCGATACTGACCCAACTGTGGTAGCTTATACCACAAGGCTCGATATTAGGGCCCATACTATTCATTTCAAATACTTATGATATCCATGATAATCTAAATGGCCAAAGCTACATTTTTGCAGATGACACCGCCTTCAATATGCATTTTACCTAAATGATCCTACGAATGGAAATTGCAATTCAACCCAGATAAAAACTGTAAACTGATATATACCCATTTAAAGACTTTATTTCGATGGTAGAACATTATTAACTGTACAATGATAAAGACACTCTGATGGATTGTTGTTCCAAAGGAATTTAGTCGAGGTGCTCTATTAAACATACAGTTCATGAAAATCTAATTGAATCGACGGTTATGTCCGCCATTTGTGACAACGGTATCTGATTTTACCGTTGTCAGACTATTCCGGTGTGATAATAGGCCTAGTGTGAATGATAGTGTTTTTTTACAAATTAGTTTCCCCTTACAATAGCGTAACATAGAGGCTCATTGTTGACAGTTATATTGACAACACAGTGTAATTGTATACAATGAAGTATTGTCAGGGGAATGAACCATGAAACAGGATGTAGGTCAGTCAAGGCAGAGTATCAAATAAGTTAACTATGTTTTCTCATTTCTGTAGTTTCACTCATTTCTGGTCAGATGCACAGTTTAGGTTTTTAATTGGAATCATACGATATCCTGTATATTTTGTAAATGTATTTTTGATAGACGCATTACCCGTTCAGAATAGTATTATATATTTTTTATTTATTTATTTATTCGAAACGCTTTTGATACAGTGGAACACAAATACAGTGTACACGGTTCTTCCAGACATTTAAGTTGACAATACATTTAAAAACGTTTATCAGTTCATAGACATTGGGAAAAGTGAGGGAATGCTTTGCTTTCTTCATTAGCGTTGAAACCATCAATCATAGAATTAAATATCTTATTGTGTAATGACCCTTCTTTGATGTTACATTTTAAGTATCACGCGGTACTAACTTCGGTCGTTGATTTGAATTTTTGACCTGCCATATGCTTGAAAATCAAGGATTGCGAGACTCATACTGCACCGTTTTTCTTCAAACTTATACCATTAAAAGCAAAACAAAATTGCCTTTATCTCGGTGCATTACTTTATTGTAAAGAGTCCCTCGTTCTAGCAGCGTTTTGGTCCCCAGCTGTAAGAAGGCCTTCTAACAGCTGGGTACCAAAATGTCGCTGGAAGTAGGGACTCTGTTTAAGAGAATAATGTACCACCAGAAAGGGATTTTTGTTATGCTTTGATTTGAATGGAACAAGTTTAATTGAAGACAAACGTTGCAGTATGAGACTCGTAATCCTTGATTTTCAAACATCCGGTAGGTCAAAAATTCAAATTAACGGTCGAAGTTAGGACCGCGTGAGTATATAAAGTATAATCTATTTGCCTTTTACCAATAACATCGGTTAGAGCAAGGGCGTTACAATACCCGGGAATTTATCGGTTCGTGCAGTACTTGTTTGTGATAGCGCCCTCTGTAGGTCACTGTGCTTATAGCCTACAGTAATACGGGGTAGGATATCGGGAATTCGGTCAGTTTCTATCCGTCGATTTCGCTATGAATTGAAGCAAGTGTGACCACTTTATCCACTTAAACAATTTGATAATTGATTAAATCTTTAAACAAAATCGATAAACACGTTATACAATTCCTATCTCCTTAGAAATTAGCATGTATTTATGGATTGTGTTTTCGAACAAGGCTCGACCCAGACCAATAGGGAAATCCTTATGCTAATTAGTATGACGTCATATTTTCCTGGGGAATCCTAGATTTCAAAGCCTCAGTCTGTTATTGTGTCAAATGTAAACGCTCTTTTGCAGACAGAAAATTGACAGATTAGCTTTTAACTTTCAGCTTTGATGTTTAAATATTCTGTATTTCTACCGGACTTCTTGCTGAATATCATTATAATGTTATAACTTGATTTGGACCATTGCCTGATTGATCATTCTAAAATTTTGATTGTGATTCATGATTGATTGGCAAGAAAAATAATTCCTATTGTTTTCCAGCGAAGTCAAAATGTTACAGCATGAGTTATAATGTCGAGTTTGCATCATGTTAAATTCTGCTAGTGGTTAGAAGTCCATGCACAAGCATACACATAAGAGACAAACACACCCAGGCTCCAGGTCGTGGATGGAAATATAAAACTATTTAAGGCACAAACTGGTATTAATAGACCGATATGTAGTGTCTGCCATGTATTGAAGGTAAACCAATCTGCATTATTAATGTTTCTTCTATCAATACATGGATTGTGCAATGGAAAAGCAATGGCACAATCAAAAATGTGCATATCAATCGTGAAAATCTCTCGGTTCAAAGCTTATTTCCAACAGAATCGTGTCAAAATATGTGTCTGAGTAACAGTTATACATTATAAGATCGCAAACTCTTACCAATTATCAGCCGAATGGCTCATTTTCAACGAAATGTCCTTAAGACAACAGCCCTGGGTCGCGCCTGAGACCAAAAACTATTTCAAATGGTGACAGGTCATCTCAACCCCAAGTCATCTCAACCCAGTCCAACTCAACCCCAAGTCAACTCAACCCCAAGTCAAGTCAACCCCAGTAAAACTCAACCCCAAGTCAACTCAACCCTGTAAAACTCAACCCCAGTAAAACTCAACCCTATTCATTTGTGCAATGTCTAATTTAATTTATTTTATGATGAATAATTTAAGTCATTCATTTTTGAAAATCTAGCATTTTGCATGATACTTTGAATGGAAAGTTGTAAAAGTATTAAAAAACAGTTAGGCTCAAGGATAATTCATCAAGTTGCCACTATTATCTAATTTAAGACATCTTTTGAAATCAAATTTTAGATAATTTAGAAATGATTAACAATGTAATTAACTTTTTATTTATATGAACATGCATTAACAAAATCATTAACATTTACTACTTAATAGACTGAAAGCATATAGGCGTAGCCAGGAGGGATGCGCACACACCCTCCCCCCAATTTTGAAGGAAGTTGCATCATTTTTTGTCAAAACATATCTTTTTTGGCTCAATTATGCCACGATCGGCACCTCCTGACTGAAAACCTGATTTTTTGGGCGATCGAATCCCTCCTGACTGAAAGCTGGCTATGCCCCTGGAAAGCAATGGTCATGTTCCATATTTCCAAATAATCACGAGTGTCAACAAAACAAATGTATTAGCAAGATTAATAAAATGACCCATATTTTAATCCTATTAGTACCATGTTGACATTTTGGAGATAAACTCATTATTAACTATAATCTAAAAAGGCAGTGGTCTAAGAATGAAAATCATAAACTGAATAATCAGAATTATTTTTATGAAATAAACTTTCTTATAAGTTTATCAATATATAGAAATATAGGGGTTGAGTTTTGCTGGGGTTGAGTTTTACAGGGTTGAGTTGACTTGGGGTTGAGTTTTACTGGGGTTGACTTGACTTGGGGTTGAGTTGACTTGGGGTTGAGATGACCAGGAAGCATTTCAAATAGCCCTCCCCTTAAATTATATTGGATAATCACATTTATGCATGCGCGCGCAGCTCATCCACTGAACGAAACGCCACTTCCCGCTGAAATCACCGGGTATTGATCTTTCCCTTGGTTAGAGATCTTCAACCGAAATCACCCAAAATGGCCTCCCTGGCTGGACAGCACCTCATTTGAAAACCTTTCTCTGCAAACCATTTTATCCTGGCAGCATTGATTCCAAATCCGTTAACAAGGGGTGATATGTTATACAATTGAATTAACAGCTAATAGTCACTTGACAAAATCAACATTTTGTCAAAATATTAAGACAATGTTTACTCATTTGAAAAATGCAACTTGTGTAATTCATTTCCTTTCAATAAATATATATGTTCACCTAGCCTTTATCTGACATTGTGTTATGGACTGTTTAAATGTTACTCATTTCGTTAATTATCTTATACTTCTTTTGATAACCTACAATTGATTGTTAAGTGATTGAATAAGTATATTTGAAAATAAAAGTAAAAAGCATGAACGACCAAACCTATTTTTACACTCTAATACACTCTAATAGCATCAGATTACATAACACAAAGGCCAGTGACCTGCTCAGTTCGTGCATGACAATACAAGTTATGTTGTATTATTAACAAGTTTTGTCATGGTGAGTGTTTCTATGTTATCATAACACGTTTGATTGTGTCCTGCGGTTGCTATGGTCAGCTGGTGATGAAGAAATTAATTTATCATAAAAGAGATCAAATTAATCTAAACACAAGAGTAATGACCTACCATGATCTTGACTTAATGTTGACATTATATGCAATATGTATAACTATAGCAGGCCTGTCAACTGTCCCGCAATTTGCGTATTTGTCACGCATTTGCTGAAGAATTTGAAGTCACGCCAGTTATTTTTGCGTGACAGAAAATGTCACGCAAATACGCATTTTACCTGGTAATTGTCAAGCAAA